TTCCCCACAGCCTTGGCTGCTCCAGTACTGCTAGGAATAATGTTGAACGAAGCAGCTCTTCCACCTCTCCAATCCTTGGCTGATGGTCCATCAACGGTCTTCTGAGTGGCTGAAATATTATGGTGGTAGCCAAACCGAGTGAGCAAGCTAAAAATGAACTATATTTATCTAAAAGCAGAAGCAAGAGAGACACTTACCTGTGATGGAGTGGACTGTGGTCATGAGACCCTCAACAATTCCAAATCTGTCATTTATAACCTGCACATTTGCATGATAAATTGTGAGATGATGTCTCATTCTCGCGTTTCACGTTATGAAATGAGACAATAGTTAATCTGAAGGAACCGGGTTGGTGGAATAGGAGAACCTTGGCCAAGGGAGCAAGGCAATTTGTGGTACAGCTAGCATTTGAAACGATATTGAGCTCTGGCTTGTATTCCTTCTCATTGACACCAACAACAAACATAGGAGCATCCTTACTAGGGGCAGAAATGATAACTTTCTTGGCGCCACCCTGATGATTCATAAAAATCGAGCAGATATTAGCTCTCTTGAATCACTGAAGTAATAACTAGAGGCAAGGCCAGAAAGGAAAAACTTTCTTGGCGCCACCCTGATGATTCATAAAAATCGAGCAGATATTAGCTCTCTTGAATCACTGAAGTAATAACTAGAGGCAAGGCCAGAAAGGAAAATAGTCAATTAATCCAACTCTTGTAGCATTAAGTCATTAACAGAAACAAGCATAAAGATATCAAAGTTTGATCTAGAGATATGTTCTATTTAATTCTCTTTTCTAAATTTAAATAAAAACATGAGAGGAAACATTGATCAAAAAATCAATGTCCTTGGCAAGAAAATACTTATAATTCATACTCCCTCTATTTCAATTTGTTGTATCCGTTTGACTTGGCACGAAATTTAAGAAAATAAAGAAAGAACTTTTGAATGTTGCGATCATAAAATTAAAAATAGGTATAATGAACCAAAATACTTTCTGATCTTGTGATCTTAAAAGTATCATGTGGAAGTTAGGATTAAAGAATTGTTAAAAAAGAAGACACGCAATCTACTAAAAATGGAAAAGAAAATACGACAAACAAACTGAAACAGAGTAAGCAATATCATTAAATTATATACTAACGTGCTCACCAAAACTCAAGTAAACTATGAGCATCAATTAGCATCACCTTAGTACAAAATTTGTATATCAGCATGTACAATAAAAGACACACATCAAACATCAATTAACATCACTAATACTGAGTGATTATGTATGTATGAAAGCACATAAACTCGAAACTTGATGATCATCATACACACGGTGACACAAAACGCACAAATTCGTGGAACTTTTCCTTGTAATCCAAAACAAGGAATTTCAGTTAATCTACTTCTTTATAATCACAAACCTTCAAATGAGCTGCAGCTTTGTCCTTATCAGTGAAAACACCGGTCGACTCCACAATGTAATCAGCTCCAGTCTGTGCCCATGGAATTTCCTCTGGGTTCCTTCAGATACACAAATAAAGTTCAATTAGAAATTCAAATCAACCCAATAAAATTGTAAAACGATTAGCAAATATATATTAAAGAGGTAAAACATTACCTAAACCCAAAAACAGTAACAGCCTTCTCACCAAAGAGAAGAGTCTTCTCATCTTTAACCTTGAGCTCATGATGCTTCCACTGGCCGTGTACACTATCATACTTAAACATATATGTCTGAAACACCAACAAATCAAACCCATCAACTAAATTATCAATAAAATCATTCAGTTTTTCGTTTTATGGGTTTTTTTTGTGGGCACATACCATGTAATCAACTGAAATGAAGGGATCGTTCACTGCGACGAGTTCAACATCATTTCTTTGGAGAGCAACCCGAGCAACCAATCGGCCAATTCTTCCGAATCCTTCATGAAAAACAAGATTTCAAAATTTTATAGAAATACAGAACCAAACAACCTAGATGAAATTCACTTCAATTTGAACAGATTCTTACCATTAATTCCAATCTTAACTTTAGCTGTGAGAATAAGAAACAAATAAAAATTAATGGAAGTTCATAATCTAAACAGAGAGATTCATGCTAATAGAAACAAGTAAAAATAAAGAGGTAAGAGAATCGAAATACCCATTGATTTTTTTTGTGTGTATTTGAGTTGATGCAGAGTTTTGTAGAACAGAGTAGTGGAGTTGTTGGTGGTGATGAAGGCTTTAAATATAAACTGGTTGGTGACCGGATACCGAAGTATGCGGTCGTTGAGGATTTTCACTATCGTTACATTACTACATCTATCAAATTTAGATAAAATAAAAAAATTATTTGTTTATTTCCACTTTATTATTACTATTAAATATATTATTATTATGTAATACGATTGTTCTATACCAATCAAATTCATATTTTTAAGGCTGAAATTTTTAAAAGTAAACTTGAAAGAAAAAATAATAATCTATGCATTGATTTTATAAATTGATAAATATTTTAAGGATCATCTATTTATTAAGACGATGTATAAAAATAGGAACAATTAGAATATACATTTATTATTTTTATTGTCGCAATTTATGTGTGACACGTAAGTCAAACAATTTTAGAAAAATACTGTTATATAAGTTACAATAATTGATAACTCAAAATAATTAATATATATAAAAAAAAATTAACAATCAAAAATAGACTTTTTTGAATTCAAAATATAAATTATATCATATAAATTTAAATAAAAAATAATATTTTAGGCTAGTTGACAGATTTTTGTATAATTTACTATTTTAATTATAAAAAAAATCTTTAAAGATTATACCAACTCAATATTAGGTCAAACAATATGAAACTAAAAATATATTAAACATTTGACCATGAAAATAGTTGTAATTGTTATTCATGGACGTACATTATTGTTATTATTATTATTATTATTATTATTTAAAAGATATAGTTTTAAGTAATGAATTTGTCATGATTGTGATAAGAATAATGTCTCTTAAAATATTATGTTCAAAAATAGTTATTCACTTGATAAAGAAATTAAAAAATGAATATAGATAATTTTTGTCAAATTACTTTTATTAAATATAAATTAATTATACATTAAAAAATAAATACTCAATGATTCACTTACTTTAATTTATATAAAAAGATTTAATTGTTCATTTATTTTGAAATGAGAATATAGTATTTTATAGCAAGACAAAATAAAAAGACTAATATAATAATATTTATTGATTTTACAAACAGAATAAATTTTATTATATTTCAAGTTCATAATATATAATATAATAAAGGAAAAAAGGACAGATTGATCTTCGAATTATCATAAATGATATGCAAATAATTTGGTCATATTTTGGGATATTGGTTTTTTTGCCATACCGTCATATTTTTGGTACATAGGTGCTCTATCGTTATATTTTTGGAACATTGGTGTCCCTGTCGTCCTATTTTGAGGACATTGATGTCCCTGTCCCTTCGTTAGAGTAAAGGGCAGATGTGCTCTAATTTATAGACGATAAGAGTACCAATATCCAAAAGAATGATAGAAAAAATATATGCATACCATTTATGATAATTCAGAGATATATTTTTTTTTCTGTAATAAATAAGTAAATATTTCTGAGAGAGAAATACAAAATTCCATTGTGGACAGGAAACTGGGAGGTCAGGTTGTAAGAGAGGTAGACGTATTAGTTTTTTTTTTTTTAAGAAAAAATATTTATTGATGGAAGTTGGAACTCCAATTTTCAATTCTTTGAAAAAAAAAGTTGAATAAAGAAACAAAAAAGGGAGAAGTTTCGAGTGAATGCTGCGTGAATAGTAAGCTAATAAAACCGACATACGGGTTACTTGGCATAAATATAGGACACCATTTATTTACACTTGGCACCTCTTTTTCTCTTGAGTTTCGTATGTTACGATGAAAAAGATTTAAATATGTAATCGAATTTTAATAGTAATTTTATAAAATTATTTTTAATACATGATTAATTGTAATTTGGTCTCGTCTTGAAATAAATAAAATTATAATTCTAAAAAAAATTGAATCAATTATAATTTCCCATATATTAATTCTTTGAATAAAAAAATTAAAATTCTGTATAAAAATTGAATTAATATGTTTTTTTTAAAAAATTGATGACATGACCGAATTACAATTGGTTACGTGTCAAAAATGGTTTTACAAAATCACAATTAAAAAATAATAGCATGAATGAGTGAACGATAATGACATAAATGAATCAAACTTTTAACGAATAGCATATATGAGTCTTTTCTAAAAGTTGACATATTTGAGCCTTACCCCTATATTCTATAACACCTTTAAGATATAATTTTAAAAGAAAATAAATTATGATCTAAAATTATATATTGGATATAGATTATTTTATTATGCATATCTTAAAATTAAATTACTTTCAATTTTGAGAAGATGATATTTCTTTAAACCAATTAAAAGAAAAATGTGTTATATAAGTTGGAAGGAAAATATTTTTTTAGTATAATTATAATTTAGAGGAAGTTTTCTATCCAAACGATAGAATATTTTACCATGACGAGAAAATTATTTTTGATATACGTATAAAATTTTTTTTTCCGGCAATTGGAATTATTTCGTTGTCTTTTAATTTGTCCCTTACAAAAAAAAAACGAAGAGCAATGCTAAATTGTTTGAAATTTTGATTAGAATTTGACAGAAATATAAAAAAAACTTTAACATCATTTTTATTTGAAAATAAATTAATTTTTTTAAAAATTTTTTAATTAAAAGAACAAAAATATTCAAAAAAAAAAATTAAATAACATATTTGTTTTACCATTATGTCCAAATTCTGATTCAATTTTTTATAGCCAAAAAGAGGAAATAGCTTTTTAAGGTTTGGATGTTCATTTTTTGTCATAGGTCACTATAATGAACATATATAGATATATTTGTATTCAGAACTAATTTCGAACGACTTATATAAATATCGTTTCATCGAGTAATTAGCACATATAATAATAGTAATGTTATTTGTGAAAATTGTGCAAGAATATTCCACCTTAGTATCCATCCCCAAAATGGACTTTGAAAATGGGCTCGGCCCAAATCTTATTACAAACTTCTGGGCTCATAAATAGAAGAGTTCAGATTTTATCTGTAAAAGCCCCAAAAACACAGTAGACAGTTCAATTCAGGATCACTACTTAAGATACATCCTGACCAAATTGAGAAACATGGTCGGGGCTCCTCTCCATTACTTTTTCTCTCCACTTTCCCAAATTTCCCATTTGGATGGAAGCTACGTGTCATAGTAAAAAAGGTGGAGATTTATTTGTTATTTTAAACGAGGAGCATTGTCCGAGAAACATGAAAACACAGCGTGACAGACTCCATTCAGAACTAGTATTTTATCTTCTCAAAAGGATCATCACCGACAGCGCCACCAACAACTGAACTACCATCTTTACTGAAGTGTGATGACATTTTCAAAATCAAGTCCAAAACTCGGTTGCTGCAGTTCCAGAAATAAGGATCAGAATTGAACTAACTAATTATGAAAGAAATACACAACAAATATTTCATGTTTTTACCTGTAACCCCATTCGTTGTCGTACCATGCAGCGATCATGGCAAATTTCCCGTCCAAAGCAATACTAGCGATGTCATCAAATATGATTTACATTCGGAAACGATTCATAAAAATGGATCAACTCATGAAACACAAAATACACAGAATTTAAACCATCAAACAGTTTAATATCCCAAACTCACCCATTGACTGCATAAATAAATCATCTTTACGGAAACCTAGAATTTCCTTCAATTCCGCTTCAGTCTCCTTCCTTTAATAAATAAAAACGAGAGCCACGCAAACACTAAGCTCCAGAAAAGAAAAAGAAAAAAAGTGGAAGAACACAAATATCATTACAAGATGCTATAGATTCATTAGAAAAATGACTTGCATATACTAATGCACTTGAGAAAATCATCATGTAAAGAACACAAGCTTACTTCATGGCAGCCTTGATGTACTCCATCCGTTCACATTTACGTAGCACTTTATACTATTCTCCAAAATCATTTTTCAACCGTTAATACTAAACATCAATTAATAAGGATGGTGTGGTAAAATACATTAGTTACTTAAATGGGTATGTCAAGTCAAACAGTGACAAGTAAAAATCAATAGAAAAATTAGCTTCTTTTTCAAACCTCAAGTCAACCACGAACTCGTAAAGCGATTCCGGTTAACCTCTCATTCAATATTGGTACCACTTACCAAACAGCCTTGGCAGTTCCGATATTGGTGGGAATAATGTTGAATGAAGCATCTCTTCTGACTATCCAATCGTCGACTGATGGTCCATTGACAGTCCTCTGAGCGGCTGAAATATTATGGCGGTAGCCAAATCGAGTGAGCAATTACTATATATATTTGGAAAAATGCCTAAGCATCCCTCAATATATACCTGAAATCCCACAAACATATTTATATTATACTAAGGTCCTATTATCCCCTTGAACTTATTTTTATAAATAAAAAATGTCAACACGTATCGAGTCCACAAAATAGTGTCACGTAAGCAAAAAAAAGATAGAAAATTATTTATAAAATAAAATCAGGATTAATAGGTCTTTTAGTATAACATAAATATATCTCTGAAATTTCGGACATAAATTGAGGATACTTTTTTATATATTCCCTATATATTTTAAAGAAGAAGCATGAGAGACACTTACCTGTGATGGAGTTCCCTGTGGTCCTGATACCCTCAACAAACAGATGAACATCCTTGCCAAGGGCAGAAATGACAACTTTGTTGTCACCGTCCTGATGAAAATAGGACAAATAAATTAAAACGTACAGCGTGCTCACCAGAAACTCAAGTATGTACATATCAATCATCACATCATCAAATTAAACTACGAACATGAATTAGTGCAAATTTCATAATGCTGTTATCAGTTATATATACAATAAAAGATACAGACCAAACATCAGAAAGCGCAAATTTATGAAATTTTCTTTTATAATTTAAAGCAAGGAATATCAGCTAAGAACAGAGATGTATTTCTTTATAATCACAAACCTTCGAATGAGCAGCATCTTTGTCCTTATCAGAGGAGACACCAATCGTGTCCACAACGTAATCAGATTTACTCTCTGCCCATGGAATCCCCTCTGAGCTCCTTCAGATATACAAAGAAAGTTCGATCACAAATTCAATTTCAGCCCCAATGAATATTCTCATATATATATACTACGTCTGTCAACAATAGCATAATACATAAATATGATCCTTTAACTATGATTTCTAAATTTAAACATGCACAAGTAGGTATTTAAATTTATATAAAAAGTAAATAGATAGATACACTATTTTACATAGCATGATACACGTAAGACGTCATTTAGGACACAAATTTTTCATATAGGGTGTCAGGTAAGATAAATGACTCAACTTATTTAATTTTTATACAAATTTAATTATCTACTTATACACATCTAAAAGTTAAAAGGTCATAATTGTCAAGTGCCTATCTTTTTACATATTTCTTAAAAAATTATTAACCCTTTGAATATAATAGATATATCTACTAACAAAAAATAAATTAAAAATTATATGTAAAATTATGTATTGGTTTTATAAATATGAACAAATTGTAATTGAGCTGCCAAATGAGGCAGCGTGTCAAAGTGCCTGCTTTGGCAGCTAGGGATATTTTCGTCATTTCAGTTAAAAAGAAATAAATTCAATTGGCTTTAAAAGAGATCTGTCATGATCAGTGTATTAATTTTTTAAATTATTTTTGACCAAATCCATCCCTATTTCCAACTCTAGAAATTCTATCTACGCTATCTCTACGACGAAATTAATATATATTATTTAAAAATTAATTTAAAAAATCATAACAATAAATATTTTAATTAAAAAATATATATTAAAATTCTATCTATATCATATAAATTATATAAATTAATATATATATAAAATAAAGACATTACATAAATATATCTCTTAACAACTTCAATGAACATCCTTCAACTTTAAGAGTACATAAATAGACACTTAAATTTTTGCATAATACATAAATATATTCTTTAATTTGGCTTTAAATTATATTTATACTCTTTAACTTTGGATATGCACAAATAGACATACATGTGCCACATGTCATTTTTTATCCTACGTGGTGTCCTACATATATTGTGTCACGTAGAACTCATGTGTTTATTTATTTAAAAGTTGGATAGTAACCTGTTTATGCATTATAAATGCTGGATGTCAAAGTTAAAATTTAAAGTCATGTTTAGGGTTCAATATATGTATTATGCGTTTACATTTCTTATGAAATTGAACAAATAGACACATGTATCAATACATAACATAATACATACAGAACGCCAGGTAAAACAGAAAAATTCCAATATAAAGTATTACGTATAATGATTGTGTCTATTTATCTAATTTTATACAAATATCTACTTATACGCATCCAAAATTAAAATTAAGGATGTCTGGGATATTGAAAGAGATAAAACATTACCTAATGCCGGTAACAGTAACAGCCTTATCACGGTAGAAAATGGTCTTCTCATCCTTAACCTTGAGGTCAGGAAGCTTCCACCGGCCGTGCTCACTATCATTCTCGAGCAAATTCGTCTACAACAACAGTAGACCGATCGATAAAACCAAAACCCCTAAACTAAATCGCGTAAAAATTAAAAGTCGATTCAAATTTTCGTTTACCATATAATCCATGGTGATGAAGGGATCGTTAACTGCGACAACTTCAAAATGATCACTTTCCGTAGCACTGATCGGCCAATTCTTCCAAATCGTTCATCCAAAGCAACAATTTAAAGCTATATACTCCATTTCACTTGATTTTGAAGTTTGAACAGATTCTTACCATTAATTCCAATCTTAACCTTATTATTAGCTGTGAAAATAGGAAAACAAGTAAAAATTAATAGATGTACATAATTCTAAAAACAAACAGATCCATGTTAATAAACAAAAGATCCAAAATAATTTCTCCTCTTTGGGTTAGCACTCAAACTCAATCTTGAGTTTTCACGGGGAATGCTCTAATGTTGGTGCACTTTTGATTTTTCTTAAAAATATTTATCTATTTTTTTATATTTGATGTTATTCATGATTTATGTACGAAATACTTAATTGCTATTATTAGAAATGATAAGAGATTGTGAGAAGAAAAATATCTTATTTTATTTAGTAGAAATTGTATTATAGGTGAAATTAACATGATTTCATATATAATAGTATAAATTTTTCTTTATTTTCTTTCAACGTCTTATATTAAAACGTTCTTTTTATCTTTTCTCACATAGAGTTATTATTTCTCACAATAAAGTTATTATTCCTATTAAGTATATAAAAAGATGATGGGATATTTCTTACCTAAAATTATGAATAAAATGAATGTTTAAAAAAGATAAACTTTTAGAAGAGGATTAAAAGTGCACTAATATTATAAATATGAAGAATTATTAATACTTCACATAAAAATTTTTAAGAATGATTTTGAGTCTTTTTAACCCTAAAATGAAAAACTATTTTTAGCCTTCTCTTCATGTAATGTTACCAAAAATTAAAATTAGGAAAAATGAAAGGGTAAGATAATCGAAGTACCCATGATTTTTTTTTGTGAGAAATGAATTGAAAAAGAGTTTTGCACAACAGTGTAATAGTGATAGAAATTTGCTGGTGACTGGAAACCAAAATATCCGGTGCATTCACGATTTTCATCTAATATTACTTTTTTTCTCTTTTTTTTTAAAAAAAAATAGAAAACTAGTCGTAATTTTTAACATAATTATAAAATATATATGTTTTAAAATAATTATTAAAAATTCAATATGATTTTAGAAAATAAATTTTATTTTAATATAATTTTCTTTATATATTTCTCAAATCAAGACTATATTGGACTATTTTGGAAAAATTACATGAATAAATATGTTTTTAAAAATAATTACTGATTTTAGAGATATTTTTTATTTATTACCACTTATAGTAATATTGTGATAAATCTGTAATATGTATTAAAAATGAATTATGTATGCAATATATTTGAATTATAATTATTTTTAAAATATATTATGTTGTGTATTAAAATGTGTGATAAATGTATTATCCACATCAAAACTTGTATTATATTTGAATAATAAATTTATATTTGTAATATGTATTAAACTTGTATTATAAATGAATTAAAAGTGGTCAAGTGAAAAAAAATATTATTATTATAAATGGTAACTATTTTATTTATTGTATATTTATGTAAGTTTTCCGACTATCTTTTACTTCATTATCCGCATAAAAATAAAGGGAAAAGAGTAAAAATTACCCCTCAATTTTCTTTTTTTGGTGGATTTTATTCCTACCATTAAAAGTAAGTTATTTTTATCTCTGACATCAATAAACTTAATAAATATATTCCTATTTCGATGAAAAGTCTCAAATCAATTAAAGTTATCCAATTTTATTTAATTTACTCAACTTTAATTTGACCCAACCCACGTAATAATATAATCTATTTCTTTACTTAATTCAACTTTGTTTTCCCACCACCATCAAAGCCACCACCCTTTAAGAGATCTTCTTCATTATTACTTAATTTACTCGATGCATTGATGTAAATTACTTTCTTTGCCCGAAATTGTTTGTCATGGTTTCTATTTTTAGAGTTAAATTATGAAAATTTTAACTAATATTTTTTAAGATGTAATTTTTGATCATATTGATATGTAAAAAATTGCAATTTTATAGTATTTTTTCTAAAAAATATCAAATTAATATAATCTAATTTAACTTTAAAAATTAGTCAAATTAACTTTTAAAAAGCATAACATGACAAACAATTTGACTGACATTTTAAGATGTATATTTTCATCATATTAATATGCAAAAAATTGTAATTTATAGTACTTTTTATATAGTTTCAAAATATTTAATCTTTTCGTTTAAAATATCAAATTAATATAATTCAATTTATCTTTAAAATTAATCAAATTAATTTCTAATAAATATATCATAACAAATAATTCCAAACGAAAAAAATATATTTAGAGCCTGTTTGGCTCAGCTTAAAAGCTGGTCAAACTGACTTAAAAGCTGTTTTTTGACTTATTTAGCTATTTGACAATACTCAAAATAACTTATTTTAAGCCAAAAGTTAAAAGTTGGGATAGGGTTGCTTTTTTCCCCTAGCTTATAAGCTATTTTAAGTTGACCACATTTTTACCTTTTTGTCCTTAATATTTTTATACAATCTCTAAATTACCCACATAACCCTAACATCTCTTTCTTCTATTTTTCCT